GAGTGCCCGCCGGGGCGGGCGGGTTTCGGGGGTGCTGCTCCCGAGCGTTTTCGGAGATGGGGCGCGGGTGGGATGGGGTCAGGAAATAGGCGCGGTTGAGAGTTTCTGTTTGTGGCTTTCGAAGTGGTGCGGACATCTTTATATTTGCGGAAATCGGCACGGTCAGCCAGGAGCTAGTGGACTTAGGTCAGAAAATCAACGTAACGACGAGATGCTGTTTGCCCCTAGCCTCATTTCCGTGGTCTGAGATTACCTTTAGAGAAGGTGCTCATTTACCTCTGCTATCTACACGAATCTCTGTAACACCGGGAATTGAATCACATTATGCAACCCCGGTGTCGCAGTTGTTCCAGCTCTTGCTGCCCAAAGTGACAGTTCCAAGTGCTCACGGAAACGGAATGAGTTCCCCGAAGTGTCGAGGGAGCCATAGAATTTAGATCCCGTTTATGATGATGAAGGGGCTTTGCCTGGTGGTGCTGTGGTTAAAGCACTGAGCTGCTAAGCGAAAGGCCGTCGCCTCCCTCTCCGATAGCAGGGGAAAGAGGAGGCAATTCCGTTTCCGTACAAATTGCGACCTTGGATACCCGGGGGAGAAAGCAGTTCTCTGCTCTACGGGACTGAGAGGAGTTGAAGTCCCCCTCGGTGGGTTTGGGTTAGGTGAAAGAGGAAGAATCAACTCGTGCTTTTCCCAAAGTGGACCAGAATTATGTAACCAGTCTTGCACGTTTTCAAAACATTTTAAAAATAAAGAAGATTATATTCTCACAGCCTGGGAGTTTAGGTTCCTATGATATTTTAAGTGTGAAACATCCTCATTTCATCAAATCAGCAGGCGGTCTTCCTCGGTCCTAATTGCACTAATATGGGCGTTTTCTTTGACTGACTTAGAGACTCCAAGTGAGAAACTTGATAATAGAAGTTTAGAAGAAATTTTGAATAGCATCCCACCTCCACCGCCTCCAGCAATGACCAATGAAGCTGGAGCTCCTCGCCTTATGATAACCCATATTGTAAACCAGAACTTCAAATCCTATGCTGGGGAAAAAATTTTGGGACCTTTTCATAAGGTATATGGCTGTTTTATCTAACTATTGCTGGGTATGATACAAGATCTTTCCATTTTGTAGCTGTGGTATTTACCGGGCCCGTGTTGATTCATGTGTGCTCAGATATGGTAGCCAGATCTCTACATAAGTATGCTTCCTGGAATGCTTTCACTGCCAAAATTATTAGCTCTTCGTTTAGTTGCTTATTTTTGACGCCTCTCGCTATGAAGTTTTCTTCACTGAGTGAAATTGGTGAGTTTTTGTTTGAATGGAGTGTTTTCCGTTTTATCGTAAAACTAATTTTTGAAACAGTGGGTTAAATAGATTGAACTTGTCTTTTAGATGATAAACTTGTGAGAGGAAAATTGTTTTTTTTTTTTTAAAAACCACCTAAAAACCTAAGAGTTGTAGTTTGGGTGTCTTAGCAATGAAAAGTTTTAAATACTTTGTTTTACAACCTAAGTTAAAAGTTAATATTAATGTGACATTTTTAACTTTTAATTTTTTTCTGTTTTTTGTGCAGCGATTTTCGTGTATTATCGGGCCAAACGGCAGTGGCAAATCCAATGTTATTGATTCTATGCTTTTTGTGTTTGGCTACCGAGCACAAAAAATTAGGTCTAAAAAACTCTCGGTACTAATACATAATTCTGATGAATACAAGGATATTCAGAGTTGTACTGTAGAAGTTCATTTTCAAAAGATAATTGATAAGGTAAGGGATTTTCACTACTACTTAAAACTGAAGAAGCAAC